GTCAAAATTGAAAATCCTATTAAGGACGAGGGGGTCGCCATTACCAATAAAGTCAATTTCATAAATCAGATGAGATCCATGTACAGCTTGCAATCAGGATTACAGCCTCCCCAGAAGAGTCCTTTTACCGCATCCCTGATAATAGCACACTTTATTTAGGATCACTGAGTGAAGTCGCAGTCTTTTTCCTATCAAATGAAAATAACTAGAGAGGTGTAATTAATTGCGGCAGTAACTATGATTCATCAGTACATATCTCTGCAAAGTAGAACTTTACATTCAGTTTTAGATCATAGTGGTTGCAGGGGCCGGAATCTACCGGGGGTGGCATGGGGTGGCAACTGGCCACCCTAAAAATAAGCCTTGCCACCCCACGCCTGCCACCCAGTTGGCGCAGCTTTGTTTTGAAAATAAAAGTTGTGGCTCATCGAACATTTATGAGAGAAAAATGAGCTGCAAATGAATGACACACAAGACGCGAGTCCTGTAGCCCCTCCCCTGGCCCTGGCCCGAGCGTGGAAATATGATGGCGGCGATTTCATTTGAACGGGACGGCGCAAAAACGAGAAGCATTCGAACAGTCTATGGATTCAGACCCAAGTATAACGGAAGAAATGAGGTATTTTCAGTCTACGATCACAGAGAAGATGACTGTCAAGTTTTACTGTACTCAGAATTGAATCAAAACGCAAAAAGCTTTGGATCTTAATACATTTGTGAAGGCGTTTTGCTGAACAACCATGGTAATCGCCACATTCGCTGTAATAGGCATGCCAACTTGATGCTCTGCTCACGATGAGCATAAAAAACTGTTTAGATGATGACCTTATGAATATCTTTTTTGTCCTTTGAAAAAGAAGGTTTTAGTCCTGAGAAAGAAAAAATACACTGCCCAAGCAACAAAAAGTAACCACTTTTATTTAACCATAGGCCAGTAGGTAAGGCTTTCCACTGGAATAATAACTGCAGCGATGTTATATGTTTAGCTGAATACACGTTTTTTTTAACCCTAATTGATGCACTTCTTTAATGTTTGTTCTTTCTGATGTAAAGTCAAGGTCTGTAACTGTTTTGCAGTAAAGTTGTGGGGCGCTGAACTGTTCTTTTGATTCTATGCAGAACTAAACATGGTAAAAAGCAGCGTTCAGTTATTATGCTCCAAATATCTGGAACATATCTGGAACAAACCTGCAGGTCCGCTGCAACTCTCACTACTTTTAAATCCAGGCTGAAGACTTTTCTTGTTGTCGCTGCGTTTAATTGAACTATTCATATCTTAGACTGCACTGTAACTTTTATCCATGTATTTTTTCTTTTAATGTTTCTTTTATTAGCTTTTCTTTTTAATGACTGATTTTAAATGCCATTTTCTTAATGTCTTTCATTTTTTGTAAAGCACTTTGAATTCCCTTGTGTTGAAAAGTGCTATATAAATAAACTTGCCTTGCCTTATGCATTTTGAGATATGATAGTAATTTGTCTTTCAAATTTGAAGGAGGGTGAGCAAGCATCTTGAGGAACATCCATCATTAACTCCTCCAAAAAATATAGTTTATTCAATAATAAATGAATATGTGAATCATAACAGTGATTGGCAGCTGATAGGAATTATATGATTGTTAATATATCATATTAATTCAGACAAACATTGATGAGACAGTTAATTAATGTACTTATTGCAGCAGTCTGCATAGATTTGGTACCCCTGCTGGTCTAAGAGCTAAACAAACTCATTCAGTTATTGTTCAGTTAAAATTCATAAAATTATGTCTGCCACCTTATATATTTCTATTTAAGGCTTTACTGATGTGCCACAATAATGTCACCTAATTTTATTGAGTTACAATATAAATATTGTGGCTTTCCAAGTTAACATTGATTGATATGACTGCGATTAAATCAGCATATACTTCTGCCAGGGGATGGCACCCCTCAAAATCTCCTGCCACCCTCTTGCCACCCCATGAATATTTTTCTAGTTCCGCCCCTGGTTGGTAGGATGTTCTTCGCACCATCCTGCACTCAGAAACAGCATGACGGCTGAACAAGTGGCAACATTATTTAATATTCTTGGATGTGGCAGAGTCATGTGCAGCCCACAGCCCATCTGAGCAGTGGGAGAAGATTATCCTCTGCCAAAAGATTCAAACGTGTGCTGAATATTTTCCAAAAGCTCAGAGAGTTTACGGAAGCTTTGAACGGACCCAGATAATGAATAATTATCTTCAAAGCATTAGAATTACAGTTAATTATTTAGGTCCATAAGTGAATCAGTCACGGTGACACAGTATTTGGACGCTACTTTAACATGTGACAGTCTCTCTATCAAGCTGTTCAGCATGTGACAAAACGCGACAGTAATCCGATGCAGGTGGCGGCAGCAGGTTAATGGAGCTGTGGGCAGGGTGGTTCCGGCCCTCAGTACCCCTGAAGCAGAACAGTTGCGCACTGAACTGTTGAGCTGCTACCGCTCACTTCGCCGAGGACACCAGCTGCAGAGGCTCAAAGCACCAACTTCTCCTCCTCATGGGGCGACCCCTCACTCGATTTACGAGCCTACGAGCCTGACAAAGCGCAAACATACCCACCGTCCATCAAATAATAAGGCTGAATGTCCCACCGCCCCCTCCTGTCTGTTATCAAAATTTCCCAGATCTCGCATTTGCTGATTTGTCGGGTTCTCCTTTATTATCCAGCATGCACCTCTCTCACTCAGAGCACCATGGATCGCCCATCATCGCTCCCTGCTGCTCCAACAGCCACCTGGCAGTCCTCATAATAAATAAACCAGGCAGTGGCGAATTAAAGTGTCCCTGTTGCACCTACACCGAGTTCAGATTATGGTGACCTTGTATAGCAGTATTCCATCTATATATACATGCAACAGAATAACAAAAGGTTATTTCTTGTTTTGCCTCTTTGTATGATCGTGAGGGCTGCCTCCAACATTTGCAATTCAACATCCGAGCAGCGTGAGTGACAAAGGTGCGCTGCTGCTGAGCGACGGGCAAACAATACACCAGGAGCTGAAGGCACTTAAGGTTACATGGTGGCAAAACGCACTGTATTCCTCATGTTATAATAGTAACCTGTGACATGTGTCAGCGGGCAGTTACGCGTTTAGTTTTATTTACATTAGCATGCCTTTAGAATGCTCTATAACTCCGTATATAGAAATGCAATCTATAATCCCAACAGACTCATCATTCCCTGTATCAGTACTCCGATACATCTACAAGAAACACAGAATCCAAACACAGAGAGCAGAAATAACCCAGTGTGATCCCCGCTGAGCACGGACTTCCCCCCCGACCCAGAGCTCTCTTACCGGGTGGCGAAGCAGCCTCTTCCCCTCTCTGGTAATTTTCCTTTTCCCACCACGGCCGGGCATTTGCGAATCAATTCAGCGTGCAGGTCTCCCCGTCGGGATATGAATGATGAATGTGCGGGTTAAATTGTCCATTTTCCATATCCACAACAGTCTACACACGACCCGCCCCCGGGAGGCAGCGATTGGTCCAGAGGCTGCTCGACGTCTTAGTTCAGCGTAAAGAAAAACACACACATCTGGATGCAACCGCGCGCAACTCGCTGTGGAAACACCGAATTTCGCACAGGAATTAAACCGACATGGATGGGCGTCACATTTCTCATGGCCCCTTTAAATGTTGACTATTCATTCGGGCTGAACTTTAGATAGATATCTTGTCACCTTTGCGGAAACTACTCAAATACATCAGTGTAAATACTGGGCCATCATTATGATGACTATCAGGGAGACCAATGTGGGAGAGGTGTGTTGTTTTAGCTGTTAACTTATAAAACGGCAGTTTTGGAATGGCAATATGTTGGCATATATTTAGCTAAACACATTAATCATCTAAAATAAATAACAATTTAGCTCCAAGTTAAGAATTTGAACAAGCCAAAAAGGATGTTAGGAATTAGGTCGTTTCGAAATGCACCACTAGCAGAAGTATTTTAATATAGTCAACT